TAGTCTTCGACTATTCTTTTGTCATTTTTACGTCCGCCTCTGTATCTAACAATCCCTAACTTCTTCAGTGTATTAAGCAGGTAAGACGGGAATCTTGATGCTAACCTGTGAAGACGAAACAGGACGTTGCGATCAATTGAGTGTCAATTTCCAACAACCGTTGGATGATGGTCGTAATGGTAGTAATGATGGATGTACCGCTAAACGTTAGATCTTTGTCCGAGATGGAAATGATTTAAATAGCAAACACTTAGGAGGCAAGTTAAAATAGCCATCATTCATGTTTTTATCCGAATACAGTGAATCTCGCCTCTCTCACCCATCTCAAACCCAGGCGACACTTGCTCTCGGGGTGTGAATTAGTGAATTAATTGTACCGGTGCGGTACACATGATTAATTACACGTTTGGTGAGGAGATCGCTGAGAAATTTCTCCACAAAATAATCTCCGCCGTAGATTTTCCAATGTTTGCGGTCATCGCATTTTTCAAGGGACAGGGTGTGCTTTGTCGTTGTCTCGCACGTGCTGCATTGTGTTTCCTCGTCTCTTGGAATATGTACATCTTGATAAAAGGTAATGAAAGCAGCGCATCCCCCCTCAAATTCTTTAACAGTGCAGCGTCCGGTTGCTGCCACGGTGACTTTGTCGTTGACGGCTTCTTTGTGCACTTTTATTTTGAAAGCACTTTCAATTTTCTTAAGTTTTCGCCATGGGCTTTGACAAACAAAGGAAAAAACTTCTGAAAGAATATATCACGCGAGAAGATCCATTAAAGGCGACTTTGACCGTTGTTAGATTTGTGATCATAGACGGTGAAAGCGTTGAAGGAAAAAATCGTTGAGAAGCGTTTTAGGTTCACGGATTGCTGTCCAAATTAGCTTCGAAATGCATGAAAGCTTTTCTACTAGTTGGGATTTTAAACTTTCTGATAGTTTATTTGAATTATTTATGTCATTGGTACAACAACGTTTATTTTTTTCATTAACTAGATTCTGCCTCTGGAGGTGCAACTAAAGATGACAAATGCGTGATTTGGTTGGATGCGGTAGAAAATGCTAAAAAACTATAGTGTGTGCATGTCTCCTGTACGGACTGTGTGGAGACTGCTTTGAATGATGACAACCGATATCCAGAATGTAAAGAACCGCAAGGTGTTGTCAAAGGAAATCAACCTGACGGACAAATGCATGTGTACCATAGTTAGCAGTCTCTTCCAGGCTATCGCGGTAATTATAAAATGATCACACAAGGATGGGATCCCCCTTAGCGATCTTGGGACGATTGTGGGTCCCATTTACTCTTCCCTCCATTTTTATTTTTACTTTCCCGTAAATGTTTTGATTGGGTTACATTCGTTCCTGAAAATGGTTATTTCGTCTGAGATTATTATTCATTCATTTTTAGGCAAGGTTCTGTGATGAAAAAGTTTTTTTAACTAGATTTTCTGTTTGACACTCGTCCGATTAAAATGTCCCAACAACCTGACGATGTAAAAATTTTTCCACAAGCCTGTTTGAGTTCTCTTATTACCAACGATAATAATGAAGGGTTTCTTAGCGCTTAAAATTAGAAGGAAAGATTCTTCAAAACTGGTATCAATGAAGAGATGTGGATCATTCCAAGTGGTGTGGTAAAAGAAGGACAAACGACAAATTAAAAAAAAAACCTTCGGGGTTTATGGAAAAATCGTTGGTACTACAAAACTTTCTAGATTCTAAAGTGTACAGATACAGAGATCTTACTTTGGATTCAATATCTCCTCAGTAGCCGTCAAAACGAAACGGATTTGGGACGGATCATTCTACTAGCGTGTAAAAGGCAAAATGAACCTGGTACCCATTCTAGTAATTGGACTTTTGCTCCATTCTGACTGTCGTGGATGGTACAATTCTCTTTGCAGGTTGTGGAACAATTATTATTGTCTACAGCTTTCCTTCTGGGATTCAAGGCGGGGAGCATCCACATCCTGACGAAACATACTGTGGTACCAGTCGTACCATATCTTCCTGATAACCGAGAAAGGAAAGAGGTATTGGCTCTTCTAAGGAGAGCCTTTGATGCCTAATTGGTGTTCACGGTGGGCACATCAGAAACTTCTGGGCGGCGAAACCAGATCACCTGGAATAATATTCGCCACAAGACCGATAAATCTGGAGGACTTCAAACGTGAGTGACTGATTAATATTTTTCTTCTTAATTAAAAGAGAATACATCGGACTCTAACGTTGGGTAGAGGTTTGAAAGTTTGGAAGCCTCTATGTTCTTCTTCGATGTACAAATCTTCTTTAAGGATACTTCATAACAATACATAGTACCCATTTCGTTGCTAAAATATTTGTAATTATCATCACAGGTATGGTTATCCGGACCCAGATTATCTCCGACAGGTTAAAGAAGACTTGGCTCCTGAGTGAGCGGCGACTCTCGAATGTTGAAGATACGTTTTGGCGCAACATAAAGACTGTGATATCATCACCTACCTGAGAAGAAAGGACTCCTTTCACATCACTTTGAAATGTTTACATTTGGGAGTTAGATTACAAAAAAAGAGAACAATGAAAAAACAAAAAACATTAAAACAAAAACATTCCTAATAAACAAGTATAATTATAGTTCGTATAACTGAAAGCAGTTACACGTGGAGGGGCGGAGTATCGGTTCTACTAAAAATGTGGATACTTTGAGGTTTAAGTGAGAGGCCACATGAAACAGATTATGCTCTTAACGTTTGTCTAAATCACTGTTTAATGATATATAACATAAAGTTTTTCGGCTTATTTCTTTTGCAATTAATTTTTCCGGTAGGTTGTCGATAGAGGATAGCTTTTTTATATTATTTAGTGTTGATTTTTTTCTTCATTGAGCCCCAAATAAAAATGTTAGGAATCACGCCTTATATCCCAACATTAGAAACAATCCAAACCAGATGAGAGCGGTGAGCTTAATGTTGGCCATTATATAGTGGTTCTTGTTTCGACCCCATATGTTGACCGACAGTTTATACTTTCTGTTAGAGGAAGTCTTTGGGGGATGGAAACAATTATAGATGACCAGGTTTAGCGAGTAAGTGAGATTGAAAAAGACTTCTACTGTATCAGTTATCAACGCGTATACGGTCAACCCTCGCCTAAACCATGAAAAAGACTTTTACCAGGATCATTTATTTTTAAAGTGTGCCAGTGTATCACTTTTTATACAAAAGATCGCAAGTGCTAAAAATATTCTTTTACCCTTGAGATTTTTATCCCACGGTGTTTTAGAACCGTCCTGGCCTACTCAGAATTACAGTAAAACCTCGATTTGATGAACCTCTCTATAAAAAAGTCCTCATTATAACGAAGGATACTCTTCAGCTCGGCCAAAGTTACAGTAAAGTGTATGGGACAGAACCTCGATATAACGAGCTTCGATTTAACGAAATCCTCCTTAGAACGATCCCAAACCTGTAATATACCCCGATATAACGAACAAATGTCAACACGTGACAAAGGACAAACGCGAAACAGACCAACATGAATCAAAATCCATTAATTTTGAAACAACAGAACAACTTGACAGTTAACAGCACATTATAAATGCCGACATTGACGTTATCGACACATCTACAGTATCTCTTACTAGTTCTATTAACTTCTTTGATTTTGAAGGCTTCTTGTGGTAAAAGGTGTAAGTGGCAGGTATTTCCAGTCAAATACCCTTGTTTCTCCGTTTGCCAGTGACTTCCACTGAAATTTGTCCTCCTTGCTCTAAAAAGTGAAACACACGTGAACGTGTCAGTCACGGCTGTCATGTAAAAGGTCATGACAGCCGTTCAACGGATCGCATTACATTTTTCGTTAAAATGGCCCGAGCTTTTTTCAACCTGGATGCTTTGCTTATGGCGGGCTAAGAAAGAAAATTTGAGGAATTACAGGATTAGGCTTTTAAGATGATGTTTATTATGATTTCTAAATATATATACCGGCCCTTTCATTCAGGCCTTTAAATATCCCCTGACAACTGTTCAGCGTTCCGCATTGCACTTTTTTCAATTATAGCCCGAACTCTTTTCAACCTGGACGCGCCGCTTATGGCGGGCCAAGATAGAAAATTGAAGGAATTAAACTACAAGGAAAAAGCTTGAACATGATGTATATTATCAGTCGTAAACATATGTGGCAGACCTTGTTATAGGCCTGTAATTTAGTGTTAACAACTGAGTTGAAAACGTAAATTGACCACCATAAAGAGTAAAGAAGCTGACGTTTTAAGAGTTAGCCCTTCGTCAGAACTGCCTACATGCAAGGAAAGGCCGCAAACTGCCATATGTTGTTTAGAATGATTAGGGAGATTAAAGTGTTATTTATTTAGTTGACCTTCCTTTACCTTTGCAAAAAGACACAAGGTACATTATTTCAAAGGATCACCATGCACATTGAAAACGCAACAACGTGAAAAGAAATTTACCGTTACCGAAGGCAAAATTTCAAAGCGGTATGTATCGTGTTGTGGCGTACGAAATGCCGAGGTTGCACAATTTTTCATCACTTTACGAGGGGGTCAACGGCCATTTGGGCGTATTTTGAACTCTTCGATTCTTCGGAGTAAACAAAGCACGCTAGAATTGTTTTATATAATTTTTGAAAAAGGTTCATCAAAGGGTCCTTCCGGAAAAAATATAATGAAATTTTGCAACTTTCAACGGATTCTGGATATTTACTGTCAGTGGCTCTTAAAAGCATTATCACGACAAGAAAAGCTGTTCTCGATTGCTTATTTTGTTATGTGTTTTACATGTTTTGTTTTTGTTTTAGGTGCTCTCTTGTCTTATTTTGTTTGTTATGTTTCCATGTTTCTTACTTTATTATTTCACAACCGTTTGTTTTGAAATGTTTGAGGTCCTGGGTACAATTTTATCACATGACGGCAAGTATACTTCCGCTTTGTACCAATTTACGCTTGGATTGTAAGGGCTTTTCGTGTAGGTGTCTACGCTTTCTATTTTGCCTCTAAAGAAGTCATGGCCCAAGCTAAAAGTTTTTTCGATGACGTGAAAAAGGAAATAGAATGCCCAGTGTGTCAGGAGCAATTCGGCGCAAACAAGCAACCGAAAATTCTCAAATGCCTTCATACCTTTTGCAAATCATGCTTGGACGGATGGCTTCGACAACATCGCACAGGCGCCTTAAGTTGTCCTACTTGCCGGACAGTAACTGAGTGCCCCAACAATGACATCGACAGTCTTCCGTCCAACCTGTTTTACAAACAAATGGTGGAAATTGTGGAGGCATACACAGGCCAAGAAGAATCATCATGTTGCGGGAAATGCGACGAACAAAAATCGCTGAGGTTTTACTGCTCCAATTGCAACTGTTTACTGTGCGAAGAATGCGCTGCACTGCACAAGAAATGGAAGGATTTCAGAGGCCATCAGCTCAAGGAAATTGGACAACTTCAGTCCAGTGATGTAGAGGACTACTCTCGAAGAACGAACGTCTGCAAGGAACACGATGACGAATTTAGATTTTTCTGCGACGCATGTCAAATTTGCATTTGTCGTGACTGCGCCATATTAGACCACGACGACCACAAGAAAATTTCGCTAGAGAAAGGACTAGAAAATAAGACAACTGAAATTGAGAATAAGATACGAGAGGTTCAGGCAAACGGATCTCACTTGAGAAACAAAAAGGAATCTCTAGAGAAACGTAGAATCAAGGTAATGAACAGCTTTGAGCGAGCAACAAACAGTGTACGTACGGTTGCAGAACAGTGGATTACATTTATTCGCAAGCATGAAGCAGACATAACAGAAAAGTTAATGAAGCAGAAAGACGCATTTGAGGCTGAATTTTCAAACCAGATGTCGAGCTTGGATGGAAGAGTGGTGGAAATCGAAAGCAGCCTCGATTTTGGCGAGGAAATTCTCTCTCGTAGAAATCTACCAGAAATTTTAAATGTTGAAGAAATGTTGGAGAACAGGCTGCAAGAACTCTCCGTACCCTTTGAGCCAACACTGGTCTTCCCTGAAGTTGTGTACAGTTCAAATGATTTCAGTTGCTTGAAAGACGGACCTGGAAAGCTGATAAGGACGGTTACAGAACCTACGGTATCTGTTGCAGAAGGTCGTGGTTTGAATGAGGCCATTGAAGGAGAGGAGAGCACATTTACTGTGATTACAAAAGATATCAGGGGACAAATAGTTTATAGCGAAATCGATCAGGTCAATGTTGAAATAATCTCCATCAATACGATGGGAATTTTGACAGCCAGCGTGACAGACTCTAAAAATGGTCGATATCAAGTAAAGTACAGAAGTGAAACAGCAGATGACTTCAAAATATCTGTTACAGTCCGAGGTGAAGCCATCAAAGACAGTCCATTTAGATTACGAGTGAGAAAGAGAGAGACATTCCTTCAGGTATCATCTTTCATGTTCTAAAAATTTCAACGCTATTCAAAAGGATCTTTTCTCAGAATTTATTTCACTTTCTTTAAACTAATATTACGGTAAAGGTTAAGGCAGTGCAATCAGAAATTTCGCACTTATTGTTTGTTTGTTCATCGTTATTACAGTCACCAGAAAGTTAAATCAACATGAGAAACCAGCTACATCTCTAAAGTCAAAACAATCGGATTGTTTCAGTAACAATGGATCAACCAAGTGTTTGACCAATTTTTTAACCTCATCTCTTTCAGTTCCACAGCGATGAGATAACTTCTAGGAAAACTGGAATGAAAGCTGAGCCAAAGAAATCTAAAACGACAGGTAAAGGGTATACTGTTGACGTGCTTGATCCGCTCGCTTCTAGTGGTAAATTTAAAATTTTAGTTAACACGTATATTCTGCTATTTTTTTTCCTTTTTATTTTCACATGTTATGCTTGAACATGTAAAACAATGGCCCAGTCTTTGAGGTAGTCAGGAATCATTGATAAATGCACGGGCAAAGGAAATTATCCAAGAATACGGTCTTGTATCAATCTTTTTTCGGGCTTTCGATCATTCATCATGGGTGGAAGCTAATTTACTGGACCTAGATTCCTTTTTATTCCACAGATATAAGTTTAAGTATTTGTGATAACTTGTTTCAAATAGTTTAGTGCTATGCAAAATTGCTTCTCTGTCAGTTAAATTTTCCTTGTTAAAAGGGCCTTTTTTGGCAAGACAACAAGGGATCAACTTAGCTCTCAGACTTTATACGAAAGGCATATAGATAGAGCTCAGTAGTATGACTAAGTCAAGAATTCTTGACCATCATGAAATTTTGCAATGGCCCCATGGCACCTTCCTTAAACTATATTTAAAGTTTCTCAATTACCAAAAAGTATCAGGGTTTATTGACAAAACACTGTATGTTATCTATTATTCTAGTGGTATTACTCCATTGCGTTTTTCTACAGTTTTCAAACCTTGATGTTCATGATTCATGTCTTATCTATTGCCATTATTCATCATTCATAACTAAGCTTCCTTCACTGAAATAACCCACTCATTTATAATTAAACTCAACTTTAAATGGAGAGAAAATCAATGCAAATTAAGAACTGTGAATGTCACTTGAACTCCATTAATTTCTCAGTCAGATTCACCGAATCAATTTTTCATAACAGTAGTACCTAATATAACTTTGCATCATCACAAGGAAATGAATCCATGTTGTTCGGTTGCAGGGGCGCGATAGTTACGAAATGTTGAAAAATTTAATTTCTCAAGGTTGTAATCTGATATTTCGTTTTCAATTAATTTTATTTTTTTAATTCAATATGATGGGATAGCAGAATTCAACGAGACGAAGAGGAAACTCTCAGAGCCTCAGAATTCAAGAACTCCAGAGGTCGTGTCTTATAGAGAATACATAGAGGAGGTTGAGAGAACCAATTCCACAATGAAGGCAAAGAACACGCGGACAAAAGACCCTCGTGACAAGGAAACAGGCGCAACGCAAACCGATCACATGGCCCCACCAACGCCCGCCGAAATTTGTCATTTTGAGGTCGATCCAAAGCTCATAAAAATTTTTGTAATGGCGCACGAAGCTGAACTAAACGATATCGAGGTCGAATACCATGTAGAGGTACCAAGGGAGGCGAAAGAAGGAAAATTTAGCCTTAACCCTAAGAGAAGATGTACAGGTGAAGAGTACGAGAAGGCGTGCGACCGGTTCATCGAAATGTATCAGCAAATAACTCAAGTTATGAAGATGGAGCGTTTCTCGCTAAGGAATGACAAAAATGTAACCATTGCCCGAAAGAAGATTCATGAAATGGGTAAGAAATTTCCGGTGTTGGTGGAGGTATGCAAGGATAAAAAACACTGGGAAGTGTTCGGGAGGCAACATGATTTAGAAGAGGCCTTGCGATATCTTCAAAAAGAGGAAGTAGAAGTAGTAAAGCAATCAGAAAAGGGGAAGCTTCCTGGTAATCTGAGGAATGACGGCGAAAGGGCAAAGGACTCCAATCCATCAGAGTTTGCTAGGGTCACCCGAAGTAAAGATGAACTGGAAGCCTACACAGGTGAGTATTCAAGGCTGGAAAAGGAATGCAAAATTTACATAACGTTATGATTCGATTTAGCACCCTAGTTCCACTAAGTGCCTCTCTCTAAAAAGCGCCCCCATTCTTTTTCAGTGATAGCACTGCTAGAATGAAATGTACATTCCCTACCTTTACCATGCAAATATTTACTTTGCAGTTTCTTCTACTGCTCATCTTTAGATAAACATCAAAGCTTTCTTTCGCACATTCTGTTGTTTCCCAGAAAAGAAATATGCGCCCCACTTCCAATAAGCGCCCAGGACGTTAAATCGAATCTTTTTTTTTTCTATTTTGCTCTGCGTATCCGATGCAAAGGGCACTTATAGGAGAAGCGAAACAATCTACATTCCGTACATGTGTGCTCATGTTTATTTGAAACATCTATCCAAAAGACGCTTTACTAGTTGCTTTATTTGTTTACTTAGATTCTAGAAGTGATTTCAGGTAGGGCTGTCTTAAAAGTTAGTTTTCAGTTGATATTGCATGAAAGAGAAAAAATAGCCATGCACTTCTATGCATAAATATGTTCTTTGTGGTTCTATAGAGAGGGTCAAAGTTTCAGTCTCTCGAGGAGACCTTACCACCGAAAAGGTTGATGCTATTGTCAACGCCTCCAATGAATCTCTTCTACGTGAAGGGGGTCTCGCTAAAACCATTCTTGACAAAGGTGGAAAAATAATTGGCCAAGAATCGAACAAGATTATTAAGAAGCGTAAATCTTTGAAGGAAGGTCAAGCAGTGTTAACTAAATCTGGAAACCAGCCCCCTGGAGAGATGCGATATCGTACTGAACGTTACAGTGTTCCAGGATATGAAGGTAAATGTACAACCACCCCTCACCACTTGCCAGCTGAACATCATATCTTTTGTAGCATAATTGTTTGGCTCAGAAGCAAAAAAAGTGAACCGACTGTGAAGAACTACAAATATCAGGTATTCAGTCCTAAATATTGTCATAGTAATGCAATGTATAGTTCTAATCTAGAGATGTGAATAAGATGACTTCGTTAAATGTGCTAACAAACTCTTGAGGTGATGCTTTAATGATTATGATATTCAGTTCCCTTTTTACGCTTGTAATTGTGTGAAAATGGCCCAGTTTTAAATCGAAGATTATCTCGACATCTTCCTAATAAGACATTATTGATGTTTATGGCGACGCAAATCGCTAAAATTAACACTGATTTTACTCATATCAATGCTGTAAAAAGATAGCTAAGATCCTCTGACATGAAGTTAATGGAAATGTGCTCATATGTCTGTTGTGTCGTCTAGACTCAATCAAGTTACTTCTTCCATTGCTATTACTCAACTGAATTTTATTAAAGAATCAACAAGCTATATTCACAATACAGTACTAGGAATCAGTAATACTACTTTTACATAGGAATGTACTTTTACAATCATGTACCGATCGTGTCTTACAGGATATAGCGTGACTATAGTAACGCTTAGGTAACGCAATACACTACATCCTTCCCGGACAAAGTTCAAAGGTTTCTATTTCAAAGTTAATTAAAGATAATCATTTTAAACTATTTTAATCAGCTAATAATATACGAAGTTCTCGTTATCTTGTGTAGACTTCACTACACGTCCGGACCTAGTCGTGACATTGCCTTTATTCTGAGAGGCTTGATCATCGGAATGATCACTTTCCATACGAGCATCAGAATGTTTGTGAATGATCTCACTAGATTCAACATTCGCTGAATCACTAGAACTACTAGACCCATTACTTTGTTCGTCGTTGCTAGTATCTACGATTTCTTCATTCTCATTTGTGGGTGCGCGCTTCAAGTATTTTGCATTTCGAATAAGAGTGGTGCCAGTTGCTGCGTTGACCAAGGTAAAAGTGTCTCTCCCCCGGGACTGAATGATAACATGCTTAGCCGGGTGAAATTGAGAATCTAACTTTGCTGGCTTCATGTTTGCGCAAAATACGATATCGCCGATTTTGAAGTTGTGCGGCGTTGCGTTATTTTTCTTGTCGTGATAATCTTTCATGCGCTCTTGATATTTGTAACATGCGAGAACGGGCTCGCAAGACAACACTTCCTTAAGGGCTTCGAATGCCTCTTTTTGCTCCTTTCCCCACGAAAATTTTACTTCGCTCCGAGTTAACTTTCGCAAAGGTTCCACGATGTTCGCGTAATTCGGTATGAATTTGGAAACATAACCGCACGTTCCAAGAAATGACCTAAGATCTGATACATTCTTTGGCGGTGGTGTAGCTTTTATTGCTTCGCACTTTTTCGGATCCGGCTTAATACCATCGGCAGATACTACATGGCCTAACACCGAAATCTTGGTAACGCCGAATTCACACTTGCTTTGATTTAGCCTTAAGTTGTTCGCACGACATCTCTCGAAAACTTTACGGAGCCGGTTAATGAGTTCTTCCATTGTCACAGCGTGCACGATGACATCGTCGATAGAGATTTGAACTCCGTCGATTCCGAACAAAATTTGTTCCATCATCTTTTGGAAAGCTTCGCTTGCATCACTAAGACCGAAGGGAGTACGCTTAAACCTAAAACAACCACGAGGCGTGATGAAGGTAGTGATGTACCGCGACTCTTCAGCTAGCGTAAGCTGAAAAAAACCACTCTTCGCATCGATTTTTGCAAAATACTTCGAACCGTGCATAGCTTGCAAAGTGTCATCTACCTCAGGTAATGGGTGTCGTTCCCTAATTACAGCCTTATTTACTTCCCTGAGGTCACAACACACTCTTATTTCCCCCGATTTCTTTGGGACGATTACTAAATTAGAGACCCATGGGCTGGCCTCTGTGACCTCCTCAATGATGTCATTTTCGAGCATCTTGTCTAGCTCGTTGTTAACTGCTTCAATTTGGCTAAATGGTATACGCCTTAATCGTTGACTAACAGCTTTGACGCTAGAGTCAACGGCAATTTTGTGCTCAAAGTTGGCCACTTTACCTATCCCATGAAATATTTCGTCAAATTCACGTAGTAAAGAATCTAATTCACTATTTTCACTAGTCTTAGGAAAACTTGGCTTGTCTTGAACGAGGTTTACACTAATTATCTCTAAATTGAAACTTGAATCCCTCCCAAGGAGTGACTCTGAATGCCCTTGTATAACATATACATTTGCTCTTATTTCTTTCTTTCCTACTTTGATAGTGGCAGTAAAATAGCCTTTGCAATTTAATGGATCTTTCTGTCCATAAGCAATAAATCGCTTTTTGCTTGGTCTGAGTTCATGAGACTTAAATTTAGCATTGTACAATTGTGACGAGATAATATTGTACTTACATCCGGTGTCTACTATCATGCGGATCTTTTGTCCGTCCATTTTCACTTGGACTGAACTGTCCTCATTGTTCATTGAGAATACAGGCTCATTCTCGTCCGCGCTTTCCTCACTGAACCATTCTGCCGCTTTGAGGTTTCGAACTTTCCTGTCCGTCTTCTTGGGGTTCTTTCGTGACTTTTTCCCTTGTTTCCGGTTTGCTTTCTGATCTTGCTTGCTTGATTTGCAGACCCGGGCAAGATGACCCACTTTCTTGCAGGAATTACATCTCGAGTTGATCGCACCGCATTCGCTAGGACTGTGACCATCCAATCCGCCACATCTGTAACAGATGAACCTTTTTTCGTCCGCTCCATCGGTAGGCTTTTTGGCGTTGACTTTGTCGACTGGTATGGGGTCTTCTTTGGTGCCCTTGGTAATCATGCTGGCATCTTTCCTTGACGATTCTTCGCTCCTGGCCACTTTCATCGTTTTCGTCAGGTCCAGATCGTCTTGAGTCAGTAACTTTTGTCGAAGGCTTTTCGACGCGCACTTTTCAACGATCTGGTCCCTTATCATCTCTTCTTCGAGTGTGCCAAACTCGCACGATTTCGCAAGTTCTCTGAGTGCTGTAAGGTAGCTATCTATCGGCTCGTCTGGCCTCTGTTCCCTGGATCGGAACTTGTACCTTTCAGACACCACGTTTCGTTTTGGCGCAAAGTAGTTTTGAAGAGCTAGTTTCGCATCTTCAAGTTTTTTATGTTCGCCAGGCAGGGTTCTGAAGATCCTTTGCACAGCGGGCCCAAGGCAGTGCAGGAAGGTTGCTCGCTGGACTTTGTCGTCCTTGTCGGAGAGCTCGGAAGCCACTGAGTATATATCAAAGGAACTCACCCAGTGCTGCCATTCGCAGTACAAGTCGGCTGCGTCGATGTTGAACGGCTGTGGCGTAGAAAGTCCCGTCCGTTCCATCTAGCTCAAGGAGTACGTTATTGGCTTTTAATCCTCGTCGCCAGTATGTTGTGTCGTCTAGACTCAATCAAGTTACTTCTTCCATTGCTATTACTCAACTGAATTTTATTAAAGAATCAACAAGCTATATTCACAATACAGTACTAGGAATCAGTAATACTACTTTTACATAGGAATGTACTTTTACAATCATGTACCGATCGTGTCTTACAGGATATAGCGTGACTATAGTAACGCTTAGGTAACGCAATACACTACAATGTCCCTTGATGGAAAACTTCTGAGCAATGAGATGGATTCATAAACTGAAGTTGACAGACCACGAGTACAATTTTTTCCTACCGCATTAGATGAATCAGTTGAACATTGTAAATCAAGAATAAAAACGGGTAAAACTAGCTGACAACAAGTATAAATCAAAACGTTTACCGTGTGCCTCAAATGTTTTGCTCAGCTTCTCTATCAGTGTCCTGGAAGGGGCCCGGAGTAGTAGCTGATTGTTCTGTCGGGGAAAAGCTCGGGAACTGACATCTTACAAAATCTTTTTTTAGGTCGATAATATTTCTGGTATTTTACTCCCTTAAGATAAAATCCTAGGTTACAAATAATTACCCTTAGCATTTCAATAATTTTGCGTTTACAGATGGTACAATTGTCTCGTTTACGAAGACAACAAATTTAACAAACTTATCTTTCTCTTTGAAGGTCACGGCACGATAGTCATTGATTACCACTTTCGGTCAGGAATTCAAGGAAAGGAACATCCTCACCCCGGGCAGCGGTTTGGAGGCACGACTCGCCAGGCATATCTTCCCGACACGCGTGAAGGAAGAGAGGTGTTACAGCTTCTGAGGAGAGCCTTTGATGCTCGCTTGGTGTTTACCATTGGTTGGTCAACTACTACAGGCCTTCCAAATCAAATAACTTGGAATGATATTCATCACAAGACTAGCTTGAGTGGAGGAACGTTTGCGTAAGTAGGAGGAAAACATAATTACTAATCCATTGATACTTGAATTTACATAAAAGAAAGTTGATTGTTTTGCCCGTTCATTTTGAAAAATTTCCTGTCTACACTCTTTCATCTTCATAAAGGTTTTTGATATCTTAATTATTGTAGTAGCTGCGGTGAGTTTTTCAGACATTTACACGAACACTTCCCAAAGATGCTCCTTTATTACCACCTATCCACTGAGTTTGAATGAATGAATCGGAAGGTGGTAAATTTTCTGGAATGGTAACTACACTTTTGAGGTTTTCAGGCGATGAGTCGCTAGTAATTTGAGGACCGATTTGATCGAGTTTTAGGGCCTTAATTTGATGCAAATGATTAAAAAGTTTAGAATTGACATCCTGAAATTTGGCATGAATAGATTGTACCAAAACAGCTGGAAAGATTTTGGAAAGTTCAGAGCGGCAATGTAAAATTTGTTTGTTGATAAAAAGAAGATGCACGAAAATTGGTGCGAAAACCTTTAGGAATAACTTTGGAATGAAGGTAACGTCCGATGAGAATGGCTAAACGGAATGCTAGATCTTTACTAATGGGGGGGGGGGGGAGGAGAAGAAAAAATAACTTACGATTTCCTGGGGTAGCTCCTTGGTAAGTTTCTTTAGGCTTGCATGATCCGCTGCTGTGAGATCTGTGGATTGAAAAATTCTAAGGCAAGAGTTAGTGGTCGCAGCAATTAAAGAACAAATGAATAAAGGAGTAAGTTTCTACAGTAACTGTGGCGCTGCGTCGGTGGGAGAGTTAGCAGGTAAATTTAGTGTTAACAACTGAGTTGAAAACGTGAATTAGCCACCGTAGAGTTAAAAGGCTGACGTTTCGAGCGTTAGCCCTTCAGAGCGATTGGATGAATTGTGGGTTGTGTGTGGGTTTATATGAAAATGGAGCTACGCTATTGGTGGGAGTATGGTGACGAGAAAACAAGTAAATTAGTTGAATGAAAAGCGCTCGTTGATTCCGTGGGGATTAAGAGTGCCGATTTCGAAAATGAATTTTTGTTCTAGTGTTTTGCGGCTTTCCGAACTGCCTATATGTAGGGAAAGGCTTTTTAGAATGATTAGGGAGATTGAAGTGTCTAGTGACTGGTTTGGATGCGTCCTTGTCATTTCCTTCCACGTCGTGAAGGTGTTCTCGGAATCGGTCATCTAGTCGTTTCTGTTTCACCAATGCATATTTTTTTGCAATAAATACAAGTTATGCAGCAAATGACATTGGAGGAGGTGCAGGTAAAGTGATCATTGATCTTAATAGATCTCTTGAGTCTGGACATTTTCTCTACGTTGTGAATGAAAGGACAAGTTTTGCATCATGAGCGAGCGCACTTGAAAGTTCCATCTTGTTGAGTCAAAGTTGAATCTCCCAAATAATTCTAAACGGCATATGACAGTTGCCAGCCTTTCCCTACGTGGTCAATTTACGTTTTCAACTCAGTTGTTAACACTAATTTACTTACTGTAAAAATAAGCCTTTAAGTGATAGTTACAAATGACGCCTCTCTTGATTTGATTATTTTTGTTGGATATAATGTTACAGAGTTGACCAACCCCTGGCATAGTTTATGCGATAAATTGCGACGCATTTCCCCCTTTCTAAATTTTCTTTAAAAATATTTTAAACATATTGGAAGGTTTGGATATCCAGACCCAGATTACCTGAGGAGAGTCAAAGAGGAGTTGGCTGCCAAAGGAATCCGCTGATTAAAGCATCGGATTTGATTGCTTATTATTGAACTGTGTTTAACGGAGTTGATATTAAACTCGAGACTTTAGGGAATAAGTACACAAGTACCAAACAAATGAACTTTTATTGCCGTATTCAGTGTAGTTAGTAATGCATCAACAGATGAGCGGTTTGCAGACTTAGACCAATGGTCAACAAGAACAAAATTTTACCTGGAGTTAGCTGGAGTAAAAAAAGGTTTGATGTTTATGTAGATGGTAATGTAATAAGAATTTCTTATGAGTGTCTTTTGTAATAGTCATTTTTATCAATCAGTCGATCTAAAATTGTATACTCGGTGGTTTTATTCATTCATTACCTTTCTTTGTTAAGTACATGATTATGTTACCAAGCTGTGTTGAACTGAATAAGATTGTCTTAGAAATTCCGCTTAACATTTTCGCGAAGCCACCGGATATCGATTGATTGTAGAGTATGTCGGATTCAGTCACTGTCTGTGCGATTTGATGCGGTTTATGCTTTCAGTGTAGCCATGGCCCTGAAAGGAAATATTCCTTAAGAATTTTGTAAGCCCACTTCCTTGTTACGAGTGTCAAATCACATTAAAGATGTCCCTTGTTACTTCTTTCACAACAGTTAGTAGTTCCATACAGTTCTCGATGCAAACATCGCGAATACTAATAAGTAATCAGAGAAAGTTTTATTTGATGCAAACGCGAAATTGATCTTGTGACAAGGAGAGGGTTGAGAGGTACACCTGATTTGCGTTAGAAGCTTTAGGAGCTGTGTGAATGAACAAGGAATGTCACTCAGTATGAAAGTCGAACAGTAGATACATGTATGTACCTAAAAATAACTGCAAGAAGACAGGGAGGGACATAGAGATAGAAAAAAAAAATGCACATTACCAGTTTGGTGTAGTTAATTTATCGATTGACAAATGAAAAAGAAAGTCCTATGTGGAGTCAATAAGTTCCTGTACTCAGTTGACTTATTTGTGTGTAGTTTGGCTAAGTCATACCCACGCTGCCCAGTCAGTTAATGTCAAGTGTTCTAGCTCGGCAAGACGTTTGGTATATCTATACAATAATACATTGGAATATATTTCCTCACAATCACTTTCCATATCCTTAATATCATTCAAACATTTCAAAAGTTAACTCGGCCTGCATGAGGTGAGGTATTGACAAATACCACTTGATGAGATGACTTCCTCGTTGGTAATTGCAATACAATGTAAACAGCTTCTAGTGCACTAATCTCTACTTTGTTTAGAAATTTATCACCTATGCTTCTAGCTTTTTTCTTAATAATAGTATTACATTTTCTGGCTTCATCACAAGCAGCTTGCAAAATCTCACTGATGCCTTTTTGAGCTTTTGAGATGTAAGAGACAATACACATAGCACAACGTCAAGGTGAAATTGAATATCCATCTGGCTCTCCTTGCACTAACGCAGGAATTTTAGTAATGGGTCCTTAATAAATTCATTTGATTTTCTCTCCAAAATTGTGGTAGGTAAGGTTCATATTTCCTCTCGTATCCATGTAGGGGGTCATGAGAATAACGGAAATGACCACCAACTAGAGAAGATCCTGATTATCGAACAATTCTCCTTGTCAGTGACTTTCTAAGAATCCTATTTTTTTAACGTTTTCTTGTTTTCTACGTTTTTTCGTTTAAATCACTTCTTAACAGGAACTCTGAATGGCTCCCTGTCTTTAAGATAAGAGCAACTACAAAATACAGGTGGATAAAGGGGTAAGTTTCTAAAGAAACTGTGGTGCTGCGTCGGTGGGAGAGTATAGCAGGTAATTAAGTGTTGAAAACGTAAAAGCTGGGTTGAAAACGTAAATTAGCCACCTTAAATAACGCTCGAAACATCAGCTTTTTTACCCTTTACGGTGGCTAATTAACGTTTTCAACCCAGTTGTTAACACTAAATTACCTGCTACAAAATACAGGGACAGTTTTGAAGGAGCATGTATCTTGTGGTTCGTTTGGTTCGACAATGGATAAATGGCACTGTCGCGCATTCCATTATTTTCTACTAACTTTCGGAAACTGGCCTAATCGCAATAGTGACTACGTGCATATGCATTAGTCACTAAAAGATATACTTCTGGCAGCTTGCCCAAAGACATCTAACCCATCAAAGCGGAAAAGGGTGATGTGAATGATCCGTTGACAAGAGATATCAACTCCTACTCGAGGGAGTTTCAAAAGGTCTCACCGGAGCCCGTGGAAGACTGAGGCAATATGCGACATTTCCAGAAAATCATGATTTTATATGACTTACACTCCATACAATCTCTCAAAATTTTCTAAAGGTTTCCCTTACAATCAAGTTAATATATACATTGGTTAAAGAGCAAAAGGGCTTTTTCCCTTTCACAAAATTATGTCCATAAGTAGGCGAAGGGCTGTTTCTCATACTGGCATTATGTAGAAGAGGCGAGTTTTTGGGCCGTTTTGATATGTCTTCTAGACGTAAAGCAAAAACAAAGATACAGTGGGCTTATATAATTTCTCTTCTACAAAAGCCATATGGAAAAACATGCGCCCTCCGATGATTATTTTCGAATTTACCGAATGTAAATTTACCAATAAGACCCGAATGTTTCGCGACATTCTGGGAGATCAGAGTGTAAAAAGGCTGGATGTTTCCATCACTTAGTTAAAAAAAAAAACTATCGAGGGGACTGTACAATGATTAGCACAAAGAGTTCTTAAATTAATCGTCAAAGCCCAAGGTAAATTTATTTCTAATGCTCAATTATTTGACGAGTTATTTGACAAGTTAATTGACAAGTTATTTGACGAGTTGTGTGACGAAATACGTGACGAGTTTTTTTAAGCAAAGAGCCTGGGTGTTATTGTAGTGGTGGACGGGGCAAAGATGGCGGCACGTTTGGACTTGAACTTTCGTGATGAAGTCATTGAGTAGTACTTCAACCTTGGATACAACAACGCAGATTTACCTCATGCCTTCTCTTACTGCATGACCAGGAACTCAGTTTGCGACAGCTGAAAAGAATACTAGCCAGTAGAGGTCTTAAAGTTTGCCCAACAGCATTTCAGCATTGATATAGATAGCAGTTTAGCTGGTACAATAAAAACAGGACATTTGTGACAGATAGGCTACCATTGTTATCAATTGCAGTAATTGATAAAACATACATGTACATACATGTATACATGTATGCAATATTCCAAACCAAACAGAAAATGGATTTCCACCTAGAAAAAAATTGCACTTTTGAGGTAACAAGAAACATCTACTGAATGTACTCGCCTACAGTTTATGTATCCCCTACCACTTCTTCCCACACCTGAATGTGCACTATTTTCATACAAAACGAAAAACCATCCTCTATTCAATTTGTTGTACATTTTTAAGTATACAAAAGTTGTCAGGTGGTTAACCAGAAATGCTTGTCTGCTGATAGGACAGTACAAGCAAGCCATCAATAATGTGATTGAATAAATTAATGTGTTTGTAGCAGAAAAAAAGTGTTGATACAAGGTGTTCTCTGAGTGGTCAGTCTGGCCATCCAACTCCTGATTTACTACCTCAACCTATGAAAGATACAAAAAGATAAAATACCAGTAATACCACTTTTATGTAGACAGATATTCAATAAAAGTGCTTGTACAAATAATAGCATACTGGGGTTCAGTTTCCACAATTTACAAAGTAGTTTTACTCCAAAGGACTATCAATGGAATTATTCATAACCCCCAATATTATAAGAGTAACCATACACATAGACCTTCTTTTGAAATTATTGTCAGACAGTATGCCCTCTGTAGACAAAACATTGTCTGTAGAATGAAGCATCAGGTCATGTAAGTGACTATCAAATAAGTGATACATTATCCAAAATAGGGTTCTTACAAAAAATTCTCTTGACAATCATTGTGATTCCAGCAAGACTGGAAGGTTCAGCTGTCCGTACTGCATCCTAGGACCCTACAACCAAATAAAAATATCAGCAAACAGGATGGTGACCAGTGAAAAAAACAAAACAAAAACAAAAAAAACAACTACGACAAAACAGGTTTTATGAGAAAAAATACTGAAGTCTATGACTCTTCATAAAGTCTTCTCACTGCTGCGATAAGTGCACATGACATACCCTAATTTCAAAGAGTAATACTTACAGAAAACCTCTATCCAGAACTGCAGGCCTCTCTACCAAAAGAATAGTTTATTTAAGTTTGATATGTAACTTGCTTTATTTGCAAAATCATTAACATTGAAGGCATCAGTACAAACACCTTAACATAACTGCCAAAATTTGTTTTGGTCAGATATATATAATTATATATTTTTTAATTAATGATACCATCCCATTCATTGATCTGAGTGGCCTTGTTTAAATGTATGAAACATGTTTCTCTATTATTTTGTACATGTGATGCTAAAGTTACTGAGATGAAATTTCCAATGATTATTGTTAGAACCACTGCTTTGCCAAGCAACTGGGCTAAAACAGATTGAATGGCTAGCAAGACAGAAAACAATACTGAATACACCAAATAATAGTAAAGCTCATCATAGGGACAGAGTCCTCGAAAGCCTTTACATTGCATAAGTTTACTACTATGAAATGATCTTGTTAAAACTCAACCCATAATGGGTTAAAACCCTGAAAGTACTAAGAGTGCCTATTGATGTTTGAAATATACTTACTAATCAAAAGCTGTCAAATGGTGTGTCATGCACAGGTATTCATGGTAAGCATTCACAGATTTGGAATAAAATGCTTTTTGCCTTTAAGGCAAAATACAAAACGTAACATGGAAATTTGTTCAACAAATAGATGTAAAAACTTTGCTGTTTATTTATACTTACATTATCAAGTCATCAGACAGTAGTTGTTCTGAGGGAGAGCTTTCCACTGGTGGCAGCAAATCAAGTAGTGGAGGCATGTCTTCATTGATTTCCTGTGCAGTACAAAAGCCCTTAAAATCAATATCATCATCATCCAAGCCTGGAGTAGATTCACTTGCTGACACTTCTAAAGTGGATTTCTCAAATGTTGTGTCTTCTTCAGGGTAATGCTTTCTGGTGGTTGTGAGATCTAACATTGGCTAAAGTAGACTGTCATCACCACCTCCCACAGATTCACACGGCTTCACTTTTAATACTAAATACAGCCTTGCTCTGGGGAGTATAGTAGAATTCAGATACCTTTGTAAACTAGAGGTTAAAACTGAACCACCAACATCCACATTGGAAACAGTGTCCTCTTCGTAGCTGGCCAATAAAATTCCATTGTGTCTATAATGCCAAATGAGCTTAAAGCACCAGGGAAGAACAATTCTTTTCCAGTTCCAATGATACTGTCAGCTGTTGCATCAATTGACAGAACAATGTCTCTGGTACCACCACCCTTATTTTGTCTGACAGCCACATACCTCTTCTGTTTGTCACTGTAATCTGACAAACTAGCCACCCTAGTTGAACTCTTTTTGTACCACTAAATTCTGGAGCTTTTCCTTTATTTCTCTTGTGTTTACAACAAACTACTGAAGGTTTTCACATCTTCTCTTCAATTTTTTTTTCTCCAAAATCTTTTCAAGGAGATCCTTCTTTTCATTCAGCCTCTCCTTGTTTTCTGACTCCTGAACTTTTTCCATACAAAATCTTCGTAGACGTGTAAGGTCACTCCTTTTTCTGAGTCCCAATGCATGTAAATCTTCATCAGTCACATGGGCTATTGCTATCACAGACATCTGTTAAAACAATTGATAAAACCTATACACTTAACTTTGAAAAATAATTCATAAATCGTTTTTGACCTGTTTTAGCAAGAATGAGTATTGTAAACCATGTGGCCTAGTCCGCCACATTTTATTTTTCTGTCTAACACAAAGTATGCTGGAACCTACTTACATAGGGGGCCAACACACAACAGTTTTTAAAGAAACAAACAGCACATTAAATTCGGCCAGTACAAAATGCTGACTGCAGACAAGGTGCAAAATGCTGACTAGGCACAAAATGCAGAGTGAGAAGAAAGACTGTTGTTCTCATCTAATAAGTGATAACATGCCCTTACATGTCATTATACAACTTACCAAGTGTTTTCTATGATCATCTTACAGATCGGGGATTATTCTTCACCAAATTTTTTCTTTTAATTGAATTTCAAGCCTTCATAGTCTTCACACCATGTACACGAAATTTTTGTATGATATAACCATAAGTATATTTACGATGGAAATATTATATAAGAACAAGTGAATAAGATTCTCGTAGCAAATTAGAGTTAGAGAATGTCAATGCTTCCTACACGTGCAATGTGTCTTTAATACAAATGAAGAATAATCAGCGAATTCTTACGGGAAAAAAGCGAAGAGTCATTTTTGTGACTGGTCATTTGTTTTCTTTTCTTGTCGTTATTTGATCACTAGTTAACTACACAGTCATTACACAATATGTTACAATCAGTGTGTGTTCACCCTTGAACATTGAAAATAAATCAAGACGAAGGAACAGTTTGGCTTTAAATATTCTTGAGAAGTTTGAGAGAACCTTTCGGTGGAAATTCTTTGAAAATTTCTGACTGCCGGGCATTTAGTCTATTTGAGACCGTACCCGGCTGTCGGACAGTTAGTCACAGCGTAAAAGATTTGAGGAATAACACCCCATACTAACCTGTACATCCTCAACTCTTGAAGCGAAGTACTTTGATAAATGCAATATGTTCGTTATGAATTCTCAAACCTGCAAACGATTTTAATTAATCCAATATGACTCCTCATTATCAAAGTATGAGACAAAAGAATATCAACAAATCAACAAGATCAGTCTTAATAATAAATTACGCTGCTGGTTCTGTGAGCTCTTAGCAAAGAGCCATATCAATTATACACACTTTTCACAAGTAAATGCGGGGCTAAACTTCAAAATGCGGCAGAGTATTCTGAGGATTGTGACAGTAGTTAACAGGCGACTCTACTACTTAACGTTCAACGCGACAACCGATAAATCTTCATGTGTTTCTTTCAGTGGAATTCATTGCCAGCAAATGTTAAGTAAACATACCTCATTCAACAGTTTATCCGCCGGGTCCACGCACGACAGTAGCCATCTTTGGACTTACTTGCGCACGTGTATTAGTACAATAAAGGGCAAAATTACTGAGCGCTGATTGGTTGAGAGAGAGGGCATTTTTTCTTAATCGAGGGCATTTTTAGTAATCACGAGAGGGCATGATTACCTGTTAATGATTGGCTAATCCGTTGCATTGCTAATCCGTTGCTTCCCAGATAAAAATAGACTGCGCGCGTGATTTTCCTTCGTATAAATTTTGCCCTTTATTGATAAACAAGTAATCCCATGAGACCTCGTACTATTAAGGATTAATTGCACTTGAGTTTTCAAAATTTTGCAAATTGCCCTCGTCGCTTCGCGACTCGGGCAATTTTGGAAAATTTTGAAAACTCTCGCGCAATTAATCCTTAATAGTACTTGGCCTCATGTGATTACATATACTAATCAAAATTAATAACTCGTCAAACAACTTGTCACATAACTTGTCACATTACTCGTCGCATAACTCGTCAAATAACTGGTCATGTAACTCGTCACATAACTCGTCACATAACTCGTCACATAACTCGTCAAATAATTATAATTTTCAGGGCCCTTTGCGGGCTCCGTAGATTTCACAATTTGTTTCGTTTAGCTCAATTTGTATCCCGTACCTCGTACCGCACTAAATATTTTGAGAATAATATTCCTGCAAACCGAAGGGTCCTGGGTTCCAATGTGCTTGGAGCTTCCGCTTTTCCGAGAAAGTAGTCATGCTCAGTCCTCCTTGCAGTCATGCTCAGTACAGTGATGTGTGTCTTCCAACTCTTTAGGAACCATGGCCCGAGGAAAGAGCATGTTGGACGAGATCAAAAAGGAACTAGAATGCCCGGTGTGCCAGGAACAATTCAGCGAGAACAATGAACCGAAAATTCTCAAATGTCAACACACGTTTTGCAAATCCTGTCTTAACGGCTGGTTACGACGGCACGGTGGAGGAAGGTTGAGTTGCCCAAACTGTCGAGTGATTACCGAATGTCCCAACGACAATATTGACTGCTTACCGACCAACCTTGGATTTAAGAATCTGGGAGTTATCTTGGAAGCCCACGGTGACTTAAGCAACGGTGACCGTCGAGACATCAGATCACAGGAAGAGAACATATGTGAGCTCCATAGAAAGAAACTTGAACATTACTGCGAACAGTGCCAGATTTGCATATGCTCTGATTGTGTTATTGTTGAGCATCGGGATCCGAAAAGTCACCAAATCGTGTCTATAGAACATGGAGCGAAAATTCAGGGCGTAATTATCACAGAAAAACTTAGATCTCTGGAAGCGATCACTTCCCGCTTTAGGCGCGATATTGCTACTTTGTCGGAAAGGAGAGATAAATTTAACACTAACATAGAGCAGGCAGTGAAAGCGCTCCATAAGGCGGCGGAAAGCTGCAGAAATTTGATACGCCAACATGAAGCTAGCGTGACGGAGCAGCTGGTGAGGGAGAGATCGCTTTACGATAATACTATTTCCCAGGAGTTGTCGAAGCTAACTGGCAAACTGGAGATTATGGCTAGCGTTGCGATCCGTGGTAAAACGATTCTTGAAAACCGTAACATAGAGGAAATGATAACCATGAAACAAGTACTCGATGAATTGACTTCAGATAAAGTCAGACCGCTACTCAGATATCCAGACGTAAAATACACCCCAAGTGCACACCCTCGAAACTTACCTACTGGAAAGCTGTTTATAACTCACACAGAACCTTCTATGAGTGTGGTCACTGGTGAAGGCCTGACAAGCGGTATACAATCACAGGAAGCCAATTTTACGGTGACAACAAAGGATTCAACGGGTCAGACAACTTACAGTGAAATTGACAAGATCATCGTTGAGATTACGTCTGTACGGAAGGGAATAAAAGACATTCCAGTTGTTATCAAAGAATTGAAAGACGGTCGATATTCTGTTTTCTATACACCAAATGCTTTTGGCGAATTTAGGGTTTCAATCAAAGTCCGAGACGAACCAATTCGAGGGAGTCCCTTCAAACTTCGAATTAAAAAAATTCCGAAGCCCACTGTCTTTGAAGGGAGTTCTAAATTTCAAGGTGAGTCGAAGAAATAATATAATAGTGAGTTTTGTTTGAGTCTTAGTACTTTAGCAGGGACTCTTAGCTTGTTTCGGGCCATATCAAAGACGTCGATGTTCTTACCTTTCGCAAATAGGATTCTGTACAACAATTTTGAATTAGAGTTTGCAAGTTCAGTGCTTTTATCACTCTCTGGCAAAGACCTTCTCAAAACTAGGAGAAGAACAGTCTAAGTAGTATTTTTTGCATTTTGTGTGAACTAAAGCCGGAAAGCTAAGTAGCTGCTTTTATTTATCATAAGACGTAGAGGAGCTACCAGGTTACTTGATCCTCCAATCAACGAGGATAGTGGTGGACAAACCTGAAATCGCTCAATTTTCCGATGCACACCCTTGAACGACGATATATGATGTTGCGACATCCATGGAGAAAACCGTGTTAGACGCGTAGTAATACATGGGCTGGCATTGTTGGGGAAATACATAAGATCCTACATCATATTATGGAGGACGAACACGAGCGCAAGCGAAAAGTGTAGGGAATGCGTTGAAACTAAATCCTGCATAAATTTTGGATGCTTTATTATATCAAAAGTGTTTATATAGTGTTTTATGTCATTAATGGTTCTGCGAGCATCGAAAAACAAATTGGTTTTGACCATGAATTCACACTATATCATCAATTGTCTTACGTTTAGGCGTAAAGCTCCACAGAGATTGGATTCCTCAGCCAAGAAATCGACAAGGTAATGAGCCTTAAAAAACAGTTACGATTAGGATTCTCCCCTGACTAAGGGGCTGCCCAAAATAACAGATATTCCTATTAAGCTAACCCAGCAAACATTTTGTATTTCAAGCCTATTAAATATTGCCCTTGACCAGCCATCAAAGAAGGTTGTTTTTCTTACTTTTTAAGGGGATTCAAGCTAAGGGCCTCAATGACTGTATTTTCAAATTCTTCTTCACTTAAGCTTCAGAAAAGCTGCGTTAATGTTTTTTCAAAAAGAAAATACACACCAGCGTATATTAGCCACTGGTTGTTTCCGGGTTGCAAACTTGAATGCTGTAGTTCCTGTAGTTGCGATAGTAACAGATGATCAACGTCTTATAAGACATTGATCATCTTTTCTCTTCTTTTCGACAGTCTAATGTGGGACATTGGCTTGGGTTTTTACTAATGAAATACTAACAGTATCGCAGAAGTTAACAGTCAGTTCAGGCAGTTGTCTGGCTTGCACTGGTCAAGTCACACAATTCCTTGTACGAGCCTCTACAGCCTCTATTCAGTCAGTTTTAGTAAAAATCACACTTTTGATCCAGACAAAAAATTCCCAAATCTGAGTGATCTCTTTAGAGATACAAAGTAGGTAAACTGAATAGATCATACAAGGGGGGACGCGAGTGAAAAAACGTCTCCGTGGGATGAAATAGGGTTCGTATGATGTTGAACACATTTGTCTATTTTGTCTAATATTTGTCCTTGAATGAAATATGGCTTCATATTCAAACACTATTTGTCTTGCATTTATCAGGGACAAATATGATAACATATTTGTCACACATTTGACGTCTTTGCGACCAGGACAAACATGTAACATCAGATTTGTCTCACATTTGACCTAGAGCCAAATGTGGTCAAATCCATCAAGTGTTAGGGCGCATTGTAATTCGTGGGCAGCCTTCAGAGAATCTTAAGAGAGGATGTCAGCATCCGTAGAACAAATTTGAAAAATAGTGGCAAGTCGACCAAAATTCTTTTTCTCCCCTACTTTCATATTTTGTAGCCTAATATGCCCTAATAATTGTGGCATAGTTTTTTTGTGAAAATATATTTTAGTTCTCGAGAAATTATTTTTTCGTTCGACCGCTCAAATATGCAAATTTTCACCGTGAATATTACCCGAGTTGTGTGACCTCGTGTAACGAATACACTCGACCTCCGGTATTTCTGTCAACATAATCCTTTGTTTTATCATTTAAACTTAATCCCCTGTCATTATTGAAGCTGGCAAAGAAATATTGATTTTTTGGTGAATATTTTTGTCCGCATACTTTTCCTATGTCGAAAAGTAGCATCAAAACAAAGACAGTTTTAACAATGACCGATATGACAGAATCTACTGAGCTTCTAGCTCTTAAAAGAGAAAAGGATGGTTATGAAGTTACTGTAAAAATTTCCCTGTGCATTTGTGTTGTTCTATCTTGAGACGAACTTAAAGTCGGGCAAAATTTACTTGCTAGCGACCATGAAATATACATGGCTACATATCACTACAATTTGTAAAAAAATCTAACATAACACTCTTACCTTGCTTATTTATGATTTTCTTAGCTGTTTCGATTATTATATTACGTCTGGGTATTACTTTTTTCCAGCAGAAGCCCGGGTTTTGCGTTGTATTCTCCCCTCCCCCATTTATATTTTAAGCTTGTCACGCAATAAATGAATATTTACCCTGTATAAAGATTTTTGTTTATGCTGAATTGAAAATATTAGAATGTGTGCTTTTTTTGGTCACTAATCGTTGTTTCAGTGGCGGCGAAGCAGTTAAAAGCGGGTTGTTGCTTCAACGCTATTGAACTTTATAGTATACAGACAGGAGAGCAAAGCGTGATGCTCTGGGAATAAAATGTTACATGATATCGGAATGAGTTTTGTTCAAGAACGAGTTCATCCCGGTTGCCACATGATACCAGAGTAAAGTTTATTCGAACGAACGTAACATTCCTTCTGGACGACTTTTTGTACCTGAATAATGTAAACGATATGCGACGGTCTGCAGTGATCGGCGACGGCTGAATTTTCAGTAATGTGTACCTGAAAAATGAACATACAGATTTATAACCGCAACAGAATTTGAATAATTTCGTGGAAAAGGTTGTGGTTATTCATCGTGGTGAATAACAATAAAAAGCTAAGTTTTTTCGTTTGTCTCACGATGTAGTCACATGTGATGTAGATCGCGACGTTTCGACTGCATACTGCTAGTCTTCTTCAGGCGATGAGGTGGACTGGTCATGCGTGATCTTATAAAGCATGATGCTCTACTGTGATTGGTTGTTTTTCAACAGCTCTGATTGGTGCATTTCGATCCTTGCTGTTCACTCAGTGATTTGCTCCCTCGGCGGTCCGCTGTCGCACGGCTCTCCTGTTGTTGTGTTTCTTGATCGTGGGTATCCACGCTTCTGGAATTTCTATTCCACTATCCCTGTTGATGTTGTTAGGGTGAAGTCTTATATGAATAGCCTCTTTGAACCTGCGCGTGTAGTAATAAGGGTCACGATCAATAAACTTTACTTCCTTCCAGAGTGGCTTGTGTCCGGTGTTGTGGGCATGTTCTGAAACGGCAGAGGTCTCGGTACGGGCGAGTCGAATATCTCGATCGTGCTCCTTAATTCTGTCTTGCATAGGTCTTCCAGTCTCTCCGATGTACACATTGCCGCATTCACAGGGAATCCTGTAAACTACACCATCTTGTTTAGCCGGGTCGACAGCGTCTTTCGTCTTTCTTTCTTTCTTTTCATGCTCACCTTGTAATCCGTTTTTAGATACCGTTTTGATTGTTTGAGCTTTTCACTTTGATGCTTTGCCCACGTTAGACTGGCGCCGTGCTCATCACCCAACTTTTGTACTATTTCTTCAAGATCATCATATGCTTTGCTCCATCTGCTGAAAAATAGTCCAGACCTTGCAGTGATTTGCGCACAGAAGCTGAACATACTTTTAATACTCTGCATAATGTACTTCTACTCATCGGACTGAAGCCAGACTCTTTACAATGACTTTAATATTGGCTGACGATTTGCTCTGGAATCATTGTTCTAATAACATTTGGGACCTTAATTTCCGCATTCGATGAAAGCTTTACCAACTTCTCCCCAAAAGGGAGATCTTGGACCACATAAGCGCTAGTAATGAAGGATAAGAAATGTTCTAGTTTTTTAGGAGCAACATAAATTCTTGTTGATGGGGTTGTTGTGACAGCTGTCCCTCGTCCATGTAACAAATGGTGATCCTTGCGTTGTTGTACCTGTATCTGGTGAGATCTGATATCCACACTTGAAGGTCTTTAAAGAGACTTTGTCAGCTGTGATAATTAATTAATTAATTAATTAATTAATTAATTAATTAATTGAATCTTTATTAAGTCATAAGATAAATAATCACATATCCTATGTTACAACATTAAAAGAAGGTATATATATAAATTACAGAGAAAATCAAGATAAAAATTATAAGACTAGATTATGTTTAAAAATTAAGCGATTAACAAACGTGTTTTTGAACCTACCAGTGTTTATTTTAGGATGGTGACTTGTCTCTTTCCTCAGATTGTACTTGGTTAATTTCTTTTTTGGCATTATAGCTCTTAAAGGGTGTATTGTATTATTAAAAACATTCTTGAAGATACGCGTGTCCTGTTGAACTAACAATTCATAAACATTAATGTGATCGGATGTATACTTGCGCTTATAACATCGATCTAAGAAACATTGGATTGTTGTTAATTCGGAATTTACAGCGCCAAATACGGACAGCCCGTATAATATATTTGGTAGAACCAGATTTAGAAACAGATGGTCTATTTCGGCCTGATTGTACCCTTCTTTCCTTAAAGATCTTAAAATGAACAGGCACTTGTTTGCTTTAATTAGTTTTTCCCGAATATGTGTTATGAACCTACTGTCTTCCTGAAATGTTACCCCTAAAATAGTAAGCTCTTTTGTCTGTGGTATTCCAGACACCATCGGAAACTCTATTGTACAACCTTTCTTGCGGAAAATGATTTCCTTGCACTTAGATGGATTGCTACACATACCATTACTTCTAGACCACTGGGAAAACTGATTAATCAGTGCGATAGAATTGTCATTATCACCTATCACAGGCGAGATAATGGTTGTATCATCTGCATATTTTACCAGCACGCTCTTATTGTCCAAGTGTATCTCTAAATCACTGAGAAAGACATTGAACAAGTGCGGCCCGCTGACACTTCCTTGGGTGGTACCTTTGTTGACACTTTTCCATTTTCCAATAAACCCATTTCTAATGACTCTCTGCTGCCTGTCTTCCAAAAAGCTTAGATACCAGTTAACTATAAAAGGATTTAGGGGGAGTTGCTTCAATTTGTGTGAGAGGAGATCGTGTTTCACACTATCAAAAGCCTTGCTGAAATCCATAGCGAATAGGCGTACCGCTTTGCACTCTGGGATATCAAGATATTGATTGACAGTATGTTGGATAGTCAGTAGAGCATTGGTACAGCTCCCTCCCTCTATGTATGCAAACTGTGAGATCCCAGAATGTTCATCGAAGGTCTCCCTTGCGTGTGTTCCTAAGACAGCTTTCTCAAAGCACCTTGCGATGACAGGTGTCACATTTATTCCGCGGAAGTCTGATATTCCCTTAGGTATATCAACCTTCGGCAAGGGGTACAGGTCTGACTTTTTCCAAGAGACAGGCCAGGCGTGTGTTCTAAGAGACAGATTCCAAATCCAGGTGATCACTGGAACGAATAGCTCGGCGTGGTCTTTCCATATAGTATACGGGATGCCATCTGGTCCGGTTGCTGTTTTCTTTATACGCATAAGAGAATTCAGGACTTGTCGCTCTGAGATTTCTGGGACTTCCTGATCTTCACTAATCTCGAGAGGTGTTGGCTTTCTGTAGGCGTGGTCAGTACATAGGTCACCAAAGTAGTCATTTAACGCGTTGAGTTCGTAGTGGCCAAGAGATAGAGAAGTCTGATAGACAAGATTTGTCGTCGTGTGCCCCAGTGGTCTGCATTGCTACAGCATTCAACTAGTGCCTCAAGCAGCATCGGGTCGATATTTTCACTAGTATTTTGGGATTCGCAGACTGTTCTCAGAAGATTATGTTTTTCTTGCGGGGCGATTTCTTCAAGACATGCATCAAAGATTTGTCTGGCCCTCCTGGTATGTGGACGCTTTGTTCGTGCCGATGCTTCGTCTCACGGTGTTGCCAAGGAGTAACGGATTAGACTGATGTCGCATGCAGCAAGGAAGGCATTAAGATGGTCTCTAGGCTTTACAACTGCTGTTTTGTCACCATCCACTTCCGTAAACGACAATGACACGTCTGATGGCTCATAGAGGCTCCCATGTGTGGTTATTGGGGGTATGAAGGAAGAGGTCGCTGGGCTATGGACTGTCAGTCTGAATTGTACTTCCTGATCTTCATGCTCCTTTCTCGTACGGGAGAGCCCTTTACTACTGTGTGCATAATTACGCGTCTCGCCAGACGGCGGAAAGCCAACAAAGTGTTCTGACATTGGTATAGAAACCTCCGCCTCTGTCTGGATTTTTGGTAGCCTACTGACCAACTCCCAGTCGAGACTTAAGTCTGACGGGACGCGTAATTTTGCACACGGTGGTAAGTAGCCTACTTATCGAAGCCAGGTTGTATGAACTTTCTAGATACCTTGAGTATTATCCGTGAAACACGCTTGCCAATTCCCCTATCACCTTTTGGAATCGACTTGACCCTGCCTTCACCATGGCCGGACACTTCTTTTGGCACTGTACGTCTGCTATTGGAGCCACGACTCCACCCAACACCGAGATTTGATCTATGAGTGGGGCAAATTGTCAAATCATCGATATCTTTCGGCGTCTTGAAGATGCTGGCTCGCGAAAAAATCAGATCAACTTCATTTTCTGCATCTGAAAACTTGCAACTCTGCAAGTGGCTTGAACTGTCTTTTTTACAACTACGCAAGGGAACGACTTGAGAAATACTACTTCGGTCTTCTCGATAACTAAACCTACAAGTTCCACCAGCGAACGATTTAAATGAACAGCAAATCTCCATTTTAGCATGTAAGATGAGACGCTTATACAAGAGATCAACACGCTAAATCGGTATGTAACTTGTCAATCAAATTGACTTTTGTAAACATTCTCTGACTTACGCCGGCAGAGGAATCATTGATGAATCTGGACATTTTAGTTTTCTGAATACAGAAATTCCTGGAAGGTTTTTCTAGATACCATGCAAAGAGGGAAAAAAACAATCTCTTGGTATTTCGGAGGTTGATCCACCTTTGAATTTATGTGTTTTGTCATGCAACTGATAAAATAAGATGGAGAAGATATATAAATTGGAACTCAACTTTGGCTAGAATGTGATAGAGCATAACGTGATCATCGAAATAGCTATTAAGATCCTTAATAAACATGGTAAGTGTTATGTTAGATTTTTTTCGTAAATTGTAGTGATTTATGCCAGTAAACGTTGGCGACAAGTAGGCACCATGTATATTTCCTAGTCGCTAGCAAGTAAATTTTGCCCGACTTTGAGTTCGTCTCACGCTAGAACAACACAAATACACAAGGAAATTTTTACAGTAACTTCATAACCATCCTTTTGTATTTTAAAAGCTAGAAGCTCAGTAGATTTTGTCATATGGGTCATTGTTAAAACTGTCTTTGTCTTGATGTTACTTTTCGACATATAAAAAGTATGTCGGACAAAAATATTCACCAAAAAATAAATATTTCTTTGCCAGCTTCAATAACGACAGGGGTTTAAGTTTAGATGATACAACAAAGGATTATGTTGTCAGAAATACCAGAGGTATGCCAGTAAACGTTGGCGACAAGTAGGCACCATGTATATTTCCTAGTCGCTAGCAAGTAAATTTTGCCCGACTTTGAGTTCGTCTCACGCTAGAACAACACAAATACACAAGGAAATTTTTACAGTAACTTCATAACCATCCTTTTGTATTTTAAAAGCTAGAAGCTCAGTAGATTTTGTCATATCGGTCATTGTTAAAACTGTCTTTGTCTTGATGTTACTTTTCGACATATAAAAAGTATGTCGGACAAAAATATTCACCAAAAAATAAATATTTCTTTGCCAGCTTCAATAACGACAGGGGTTTAAGTTTAGATGATACAACAAAGGATTATGTTGTCAGAAATACCAGAGGTCGAGTGTATTCGTTACACGAGGTCACACAACTCGGGTAATATTCACGGTGAAAATTTGCATATTTGAGTGGTCGAACTAAAAAAATTATTTCTCGAAAACTAAAGTATATTTTCACAAAAAAACTACACCACAATTATTAGGAACATATTGGGCTACAAAATATGAAAGTATGAGTGAAAGCAATTTTGGGTGACCTGCCGCTGTTTGTCTGATGCTTGTTGATATTAGCTGTTAAAGGGCATGTAAATCCAAAAAACGTTCATTTTCTTTTCACGTAGATGTTTAGTAAATATGTCAAGTACACCAAAGGTGCCATTCGTTTTTTTCTCAAAAGTCCATTTTCACTTTGTAAAAGCTCTTCCAAATTCGAAACATTCACCATTTTGAATGGCGCCATCTTTCCTGTGACGTCACGGGTGGAACCTCCAAAGTTTCGTTTTGTAATCGCGTGAGACACGGAGTCTTTTCCACAGCCGTTGTTTGCCAGTCTCGTCATGATTTTTTTACTTACAGTTTGCTTCAATATACTCAGTTTTTTCATAATGTTAAAGCGTTGTGTCGTCCAGTTTTGTACTGATTCAAACAAAACTGGGCATACAACGCAAATATTTCCAAATGACGCAAATTTGAAGCCACAATTTGTGAAACTTCTTCAAATGAAAATAGCCGATTTCGTCGAGCCGTTCGAACATTCTGTTGTTTGTAGCAGTCATTTTTCTTCTTGGTGTTGTACCGACAATTCAGGCCCTACCAGAAGCAATTTATTCGGAACTATAAACAACTAGCTGTAGTACTGTATTATTAAATCAGTGACAGAAACAATTCAAGCAAATCGATCTCAAAATGTAACAAAACAGATGAAACGGAAAACATTTAGCTTACTCGTTTCCGGTGTGATTCTCTGTGCCTTACTGCTGCCTGTACGCGTAATAGACCGTCTCCAGCACCCAGAAATCGAGGCAAATTGACTAAAAACCTGGATAATCAGTGATACAACTTATCTAGGTTTCACTTTCATGAGTTGTCGGCATTGCTTGACAAGTTCCACACTCACACCTTTGACAATTTTATATAAAACACCCTCGGAAGCTCAGTGAGTTTAAAAAATTTCTGTTGCATTCTTTTAGATTGTACCCTTGCTTTATTGGATTTTCATATCAAATACAAATAAATCACACAGTAAATTAGATACCAGTCTGAGTTTCCGAGGAGGTCGCATCGCTGTCAACATGTTCTGCACTGTATTCGTGCGGACCGCTTCGGTGAACCTTACGCGGCTCATATTGTTAATGACGTGGCCCAGACTCTCCTAAAGATTCTGGATAATACCCATCGCCGTCATATACTAAGCTTAGAGCATTCGAGTCGCTATCTTCTGAAAAACATCTTCGAACTACCGCTACTTACACGAGCTACCACACCAGTTCTACTGGGTAATATGTGTTGCGCAATATTTTAGTTCCACCGCTTACGTCACGACTCTCGCTATTGTTTTTACCGAAAATGGAATTTCAGTTGAAAATGCCGATTTTCTCCTAAAATAAGTCGAATTGGACAAAACGAATTTCAGATTCGTTTTCTACGCCACTTTTTACGTAGTATGAGAAAAACATGTATTTTTGGGTTTACATGCCCTTTAATGTTTCAGATGAGATCCAGACGACTTTGAACAAATTGAAAGAGGAAGAACACGATTGTAAGCGAGCTGGACCGTTGTCAAAGGATATTAGATGGATGTACCATGATGGCGATAGATTTGTGGAATATGGAAGCCTCATAAATGCAAAGATCGAAGCTGCCTATAGTCAGAAGAAAAGCGGAGTGACCATAACTTCTGAAGAGAAAGAAGATTTCCAAATTGATTTCAGCTCAATGACAATGACCGATTCGAATGGCGATGCCACTCTGGTCCAAAGAATGAAAGAGAACTCAACGACGCAAATTATTGAACATGAAGTCGTCACTACATTCTCTAGAGATAATCTCCGCAAGCTTCTATCCCTTGAGCAAATACATGATGTTTCAATTTCAGTCGAGAAACTTGCAGGACGTATCGTAATTCGTGGACTGCCTTCAGACATTCTTAACGTTTCAGGTGAGATCCATACGATTTTGCACGAGTTGAAAGAGGAAGAACACGATTGTAAGCGATCTGGGGCGTTGTCAAAGGATATTAGATGGATGTGCCATGATGGCGATAGATTTGTGGAATATGGAAGCCTCATAAATGCAAAGATCGAAGCTGCCTATAGTCAGAAGAAATGCGGAGTGACCATAACTTCTGAAGAGGAAGAAGATTTCCAAATTGATTTCAGCTCAATGACAAACACCGATCCGCTTGGCGATGCCACTCTGGTCCAGAGAATGAAAGAGAACTCAACGACGCAAATTATTGAACATGAAGCCGTCACTACATTCTCTAGAGATAATCTCCGCAAGCTTCAATCCCTTGAGGAAATACATGATGTTTCAATTTCAGTCGAGAAACTTGCAGGACGTATCGTAATTCGTGGACTGCCTTCAGACATTCTTAACGTTTCAGGTGAGATCCATACGATTTTGCACAAATTGAAAGAGGAAGAACACGATTGTAAGCGAGCAAGGGCGTTGTCAAAGGATATTAGATGGATGTACCATGATGGCGATAGATTTGTGGAATATGGAAGCCTCATAAATGCAAAGATCGAAGCTGCCTATAGTCAGAAGAAATGCGGAGTGACCATAACTTCTGAAGAGGAAGAAGATTTCCAAATTGATTTCAGCTCAATGACAATGACCGATCCGCATGGCGATGCCACTCCAGTCCAGAGAATCGATCTGCGAAAAGGTAGGACTAATAAAGTTTGGCTCCAAATTGAACGAGCTAGGAAGCGTGTGTGCATTAAAGCTTATATATGAATCCGACTCTAACTCGAGAATGCTTCATTCGCTGTAATCTACTCTAGTGTTATACTGGTATTAATTTGTATTTGCATTGCAGAGGGAGAAAGTCGTCATTCACTTTCACAGTAATGATACAGATTAACAATAAGGACATGATTGGTGGCATGACTATGTCATTGGTAGACTCTCTTTGTAGTTTGAATTCAGACCTGCGGTTGTTTTATAAACATGCAGTATCATGTGCGTTTTTAATTCACTTTGCAGTTCTGTCTAACAACATGTAAACTGTATTTGGTAATCGTTCAAGTAATTTTCTGATTAAATTGAGAAAGCCGTGAGAAGTCATTCCTTTCCTCTCTAAAGATAACGCGACAACCAAATTTGGATTAAACTCTACCGGTAGTATTTGAGTTACATTAACACTTACCACAACCATTTTCCTTCCACAAGGGGTCCTGCTTCCTGCTTACTGGATTCCACAACCAAAAGACTCACAGGGCTTAGAAATGACTGTACATCTTGTTGAGCTGGATCATGAGAAAGACGCACAGCAGTACAAGAGTGTTTAGGACCGATTCCTGCAAACCTGTTCCGGCAACAAAATTGTAAGGATAGAACGAGTTCAAAATCCAGCTCTCTTTAGCTCGTACATGATCCGAAAACAGAAGATGGATGAGACGAAGGGAAGCAACGAGCAGTTGTTATTTCACGGAACTCCGGGTGATAACTGCAAATTAATAAATCACACAGGTTTCAACAGAAGCTTTCATGGTAAAAATGGTGAGTAAGTTATCTTCGATTTTAAAGACAAAAAGGAAAGTAAGAATTGGAACAAAAAGCCCAATTATCAGCCCTTATCCACAAAATAGAACTTGATTCCGCAAATTTCTTTATGCCACACGGTAATTTGCAACAATGTGTCACTATATTATCACACTGTTATTAAGAAACTTTGTTTTTACAACCTCGCTTTATTCATTATATTTCCCATGCGCATATTTTTGCATGAAAAGGAAGCCACAGTTAAACATAAAAAATTATTCAATTTCTTTTTGTTTTTGTTTGTTTGTTTGTTTTTTAAATATATTTGATTTACGTATTCTCGGGATTCATCATAAGACTTCTCAACCAGGCTGGGCCACTGTCATCATTTAACTCCTGTAGGACGTGAGCTCTCGATAACTCGGTAGTCAATGAGACATGCATGTACTAAACTGCCAGGTTTCGAACCCTGTAACAAGCGAATTTTAAAACTTTCCTTGACCTTTCAGCAACCATGTACGGAAATGGCGTATATTTTACAGTAGATGCCTCGTACTCAGCTCGGTCAAGCTATTCACTCCCCGACACGAGTGGTCTGCGGTACATGTATTATAGTAGAGTCCTGGTTGGTGAGTATACACAAGGCAAGCAAGGTCTCCTCACGCCTCCAGCAAAGAATCCAAATGATCCAACTGACACCTATGATAGCGTGGTGGATCAAATCCCCAACCCGAAAATCTTTGTTGTGTTCTGTGACTGGCAGTGCTACCCAGAGTACTTGATTACCTTTCGCTGACCTGCACACGGTTTTCGGCGCTATTTAGTGTAACACAACATGTGCTTCTTTGAATAGCTAGGCAACAACAACACTATGGTATTCGGCCGACATTTCAATGGGGAGAAGTTCGTTTTGTTTTATTTTTTTTCTCTTTTTTTCATTCTTTTGTGTTTTAATTTTTTTAAATTATTATTTTAATAATAATAATAATTATTATTATCATTTATTTTTGTTGTAATAGTGAGCTGACTCAATGTAGAATTTTTTGCGTATCGGCAAATTACGATATATCATAGATCGTGCACGGATGAGGACATTATTTGTGTTTGTTTTTCCTTTGTTTTTTTTTTTAACGTTCTGTTGTTTTTTTGTTTGGTTGTCATTGGTTGTTAAAGTAAGCCGACTGTAGTTAGATGTGAATTTTTGCGCATCATAGATCGCGCATGGATGAAGAAATCGTGCAGCGACGCTTGTTTAGCTTACTTTAGTAGGACTATGCGAAACAGCTATATTTGTTTCGTACTTTCCTTAACACCCGGCAAAATTATTTAGATGTCTGGTGAATCACAGATGAATAATAATTTTGTGAATCACAGCTGTTACCATACATTAGCCACCTGAATCAAGCTTTAACATCCTGTCAATACGAATTTGTACAGCTCCGTGTGGAAACATCTTTAAATTGTTGCACCTGAGGTAGCTCTATCCACCGCGAGTATCGTTCAGCAACGTTATGACTTGAGGAGAGGGAAGGGGGCGAGGGAGGGCTTTGGGTAGTTTAACATTTATCTTCCATGAGTGACCAAGTCAGAATTTCTTAAAAAATATCAATACAATATCAAGCAGACAAGTGATGAGAATATAGAAAAATATCAGTCAGGGAATTATGGGTTGATCCAATACCAAATTCTCCAAACTAACATCACAAGAACTGTATGGGAGAAATAAAGAGAATTACTTATGAGATCTCGGGAGTTAAAGGGTTAAGCCAAGCTCGCAGTCGAAAAACTGATTGAAAAAAGAATGAGGAACAACCAACAGGTGTTTGGCAGTCAAAAAAAAAAAAAAGAAACAAGGAGGGTACGTTTCTAAAGAAACTGTCGTGCTGCGTCGGTGGGAGAGTATGGCAGGTAATTTAGTGTTAACGACTGAAAACATAAATTAGCCACCGTAAAGGGTAAAAGGCTGACGTTTCGAGGGTTAGCCCTTTGTCAGATCAATCGATCATTTTGCCCTCTGTATTTCTTTTTTCAAAGTTTGGTTTGATGTGCAAATTGGTAACTAAGCAGAACATGCTCGTTGAGGTATAACATGCCAGTATATTTTTGCATAGTTTAGCTATATTCGCAGCGTTTGCCGTATTTTCCGGTTACCACAGTTATTCTTTCCTAGTGGGAAATAGGAAAAAACAGAAAGCAGAAAGCGAGTTAACAAGTTTAGTAAAAAAAAAAAGAAAAGCGTAAAATGAATTTTTTTTTTAAGTGGTGGAAGTTTTAATTTGCTCTCGATTTTAGTTATGTCATCTCATCAAGAGAAAATAATCTCATGTAACCTGCGATTAGGGCCTTTTGTCCTACTGTTATTAATGGTAGTAGCTTTGCTCAGTTGTTTGGTTCCTCGCTTGCTTGTTTGTTCTTTTTTTTCCCACGAGGAAAGCATCAGCGACTAAATGGCGGGGAGGAATACAACTGTAAAGCTGAAGATAACGTACCATGGCTACATATGTAACGAATTGGTTTAATATGTATCTTTACGAAGCTGTCTCTTGGCCAAGGTGCACAGCTTGTCCATTGTTAGACTGCAGTCTCTTGTCAAATAATAAAATTATCACTTGGAATGAAGACGTTAAAGTTATCTTTCGTTTTGCGTTGTCTCTCGTCGGCACTGACATAAAATCCCGTTTTTTTTTTTTTTAACTTGGTAAACGCAGGTCAAACAATTCACACACCAGGAAACCTAATCTTCTTCCAGGAGTGTAAATAACCAACCAGGACATAAATATAAAAAAAAATTGATGCACGAAAAAATATTCTAACGCTACGAAAGTAACGCAAAGTTCGTATCGCTCGTCAAACATTTGTCGCCGAAAAAATTATCTTTGTACTCTTCAAATGTAACATCACTATCAAAGAATTGCAATAACAACAATCCCTTAGGGGACCGGTCATTTTTCATCGCGGGAGGGGGGGGGATCAGAGCAATTTAGATGTGTCACCATAAAATTTACCTGATCCCCCATAAGGCCCTTTGACATTCCCCCCCCCCCCTTCCTCACTGGCATTTAATTGGCAGCCTATTTCCTTCAGTCACCCTTTTATACTCTGTTGGCCACGATTGATCCCCCACTGCTCTCCCTGAAAACCATGCGACTCCCCGAAATCTCCCGGTCTTCCTCCCCTAACAAGAAAGGCTGTTCCTGTGAAATGACCCTGTAAGGAAGTAGAAGAACTCGACAAATTTTTACATTATGACTTTGCAAATTTCCAAGAATTGTTGTGTTTTGAGGCCGTCGTAAAAACCAATCGTGCGTCAAAGGCTCTGTGTAGCAATTGCAAGACTTCTCTACCTTCGCGATTATCAGGTAAATACGCAGTACGATGCATACCATTGTACTGCTGACCAGGGTTTGGGTGCTCTGGGCCTTGAAGCCTTGATTGAAATAAATGAATGCAGATCTTACCACACCCTGATGAGAGAAAAAAAAGAGATCAACTTGAGGTATTTTCCAGAACAGCAGGCGGTCTTAACGCCTTAGAGAAACACTTCTTCCTAAGTTTCACAAATAATTAACTACAGTAACTACAAAAACTTTTATTTTCTGAGGGTTCTGCATGTTAGAGACACATACTTCATACTTAGAAAAAAAAAACAATTACCTTCAGACAACACTCATTTCATCCAAAATTGGAACTTCTGGCACCAAAATTTCTTAATTTTTATTTCACTTAATTATGTTGTTAATTTTCCACTTGGTCAGTCTAACATTTTCTTCAAATGATAATTGATGGCTCATCTTTGATGATTCTTCTACAAAACATTGAAATGTCGAGGTTTGAATTAAATCGAAAATCAAGTTCTTTTTCTTTTTTCAATTACCACACAGCAAGTTTGTTGGAATTCAAGGGTGATATACATCATACCAGAATAACTGGGAGACTGGAATGCAGAGTGGACCAAGTCATTTGCCCTGGTGGTTGATTCCCTGTCACCACACGTTATGGCTCTCTACAAATGGGGCAAACATTTAATACCCTGAAAGCTTGACTTAAACAATCTGGGGAAAAAACATGACAACACTTGATAGTTTTGGGGTTTAACCATACTGTCAAGGTATATAGGACATCTGTGATACATATTTGTCCACCCTTAAGAAAAGAGTGAAAAATGGATAATTAATTCAAAAGAGCAAAGAAATAATTATGTGTTTGTGTAATTTTAATTTGCAGGTGATTTTGCTCCATACGGTTGTAACAGCACTTAACGGGGGGCAGAAAAAATTCAGAAAAGAAGAGAGTGAAAAGAGGGGACAACAGGAGTTTGAGAGGGTGGGCCAAACCCACAACTCTATACATGTACAGTTGTACTGCTCCTTCTTTGCAGACATAATAACTGGTGACCTTGTTTCTTACATCTTTATCCTCCCCTTTCATAACTACAAATAATAAAAAGAAATTGCATTATAAGCTGCCTATGTCACATAAAGTGTACATTAGATCTGGAACATGCATATTAGCCTGCATTGCATCAAGTATGAATGTTACAAATTTTTCATACCTCCCAAATAAGATGTGATGTGACTCAAGAACATTATGTTATGTGCTATGGGTCAAAACTCCTTAATATAACTTTGTAAGTGTAAACAAATCTCTCTGACTCTCTAGCAGAACAATAATGATAAGGTCGTCCAGCACTTGAAACCTTCCCACATTTGTGTGACAGCCTATGTCGAAAAACTAATTTCACGGACAATTTCAGTAATACTGAATACATATTATCTCTCTCATTTTTTGAGTTGCGAGGTATAACAAAACACTTTATGACTAGCCCCAGTTTTTGCTTCCCATAAAAACTCAACATTACTAAATAACAACTTTGCCCACTTGCGGAACATTGAGGTTTTCCAAGAGCAAACCTACAACTTCCGTAGGAGTCAGTCATTTTAAAAGTGTCCATTTCAAAAGATAGGAAGTTCTGTCTGCAAATTAAAATATTGACATAATTATAAAAGGTGACAGTCAAATATCATCGGCAGTGTCATTCAAGCCTCAGTAAAGTATTAGTGAACTTGAAAATATATTGGCTAAACACACCTCTTGATTAAGACAACAACTGACTGCTAGTCAAGTATAACTGTGCTACAATCATTGAACCCATAGCATCTAGCAAGAAGTATACAAGAGACTTACATTAATTATTGGTTGACTATTAAAAAACTTTCAACTCATAGACATGTACATTCTGCCATCTGCCAAGTTAATCAAGGCTACCTTCAACTAGCACATACGATTCCAAAAAACAAATTTTTAACAAAAATATACAACGCAGCCGTGGATGAATCTTTTCTTCTTATACCTCACATTTCATGAAATTCATACACTTGCCTGAGAACAATGTATCTAGCAGATCAGGAGGGAAATTGGTTGTTGTACAAGTGCTAGCACTAATCCAGAATTAAAAGATAACCCTGAATTGAATTGGACACCATAAAACTACATGCCACTCTATAACTGTTTTTGGCTTAAGTAAGGTAGAGGTAACTGCATGAAACTGGTTTAAATTAAGGGTTAAACTATTTGCAAATAAATACAGCTATATGAAGAATTTACTCTAACATTGGATCACTGTGATCCTCTCAGGCTTAACAAGGAAGTGGAAGTGCGTGGGGTGGGTAATAATGAAAGGCATTGTTAACAACTTTGTTTCCACAATTTACCGTCCTGAAAAGAGAATTCAGCTTCCCTTTTGTGAAAAACCATAACAAAAAAAGATACCAACTGAAGGATAAGTATCATGAGTAAAAACTAAAAGAACAGTCAAAGACTGGAGGTCTACCATAATGTCAAATTGCATGTACAGCTCACCCTGGTGGACAGAATAATTAACAATTATTCACCT